GCCTAGCCCTGACCCTGACCCCGAGAACCGAAAGCAGCCGCCGCCTCCTCCACGGCCTGCCTGCCGGCGCCCCCTCGCCCCAGCACGGCCTCCTCACCAGAACTCGCCCGGCCACAGCGGTGTTCCTAACAGCGGCATCAGCTCAGACCGCTGCGTCGCCGCGTCCGGCCTCGGACAGGCAGCGGCTCCGCCGCCCTCGACCCCTTCTGTACCAGCAGCCGCCGCCGCCATGACAGTACGCGCTGCCGGTTGACCGTCACCAACTGCGGATATCCTTCCTCGCCCCGTCACGTGCCCAGAACGGGACTGCGCAGACGCGGGGTTGACGTCGCCGGCCGCTGGTCGGAGGGCGCTTTGTAAACGGGGTGTTTGTGTGTGTGGGGGGGGGGGTTAGGATCCAGGCGACCTCCGCGGTTGTTGAGGTCGGGCTTTTCCACGGGCTGGTGGGTTGCCCGGGAAGGGTTGGGGTTGCGTCTGTTACTTCCAACTAGGCCATGGTTCTAGCCTCAGGATCGGGCTGGCTGCCTTGTGGCCCTCTCATTATCTCTCATTATTGACTGTGCTGGCTAATGGGGCTGATGGGAGTTGTTTGGGGGAGGGGGGAGAGCGGGGTCCTCTTCTCTGGGGCAGGTGGCCGTCAGGTAGCAACGCTTGCCTCTGGGTGTCCTCAGCTATCTGACCGAAATCCTTTCCCCCAGTGACTGGCAGGCAGGGACGTTTGGGGGGATTTAAACAGCCCTGAAATAGCTTGGATCCAGGCAGCCTAAGACAGCCATTCTCAACGGGGGGAGGGGGGGCTGAAGGGGGCCACAGACTGAAAAACCTGAGAGGGGGATTTTCTACTCATCTGTTCGCTTTGTATCCTTCTTTGACAGGCGCTCCTGGAGCCAGAGAAGAGCTCCTAAAAGAGCCATGGCTGACCTAAAAGTATGGCTGACCTAAAAGACCATCTCCTTTTTTTCTTCATCTGCTTGGCTCTTGTCTAGATGCAACAAGTGTTTACAAAGAAAAAAGCATTTTCAGTGGGCGCACTGACTGTAGAAAGCCCTTCCTGGAGAGACTCACCCAACTCCTTAGACTTATCTTTTCAACAATTTGGAGAAATTCCTTGAGGGGGAATACCTTGCTTTTTAGACTGCCTATTCCAGCAGATAGGGACGTGGTGGCACTGCGGGTTAAACCGCAGAAGCCTCTATGCTGCAAGGTCAGAAGACCAGCAGTTGTAAGATCGAATCCTCACGACGGGGTGAGCTTCCGTCCCTTGTTCCAGCTCCTGCCAACCTAGCAGTTCAAAAGCATGTAAAAATGCGAGTAGATAAATAGGTACTACCTTGGTGGGAAGGTAACGGTGTTCCGTGTCTAGTCGTGCTGGCCACATGACTAGGGAAACTGTCTTCAGACAAACACTGGCTCTATGGCTTGGAAACGGGGATGAGCACCGTGCCCTAGAGTTGGACATGACTGGAGTAAATGTCAAGGGGAATCTTTACCTTTATTCCAGCAGATACTGTAAGTCCCTATTCTACTCAAGGGATTTGTGCTGGTCTCACTATTACATTGTAGCTTTATTTCCAAAGTGCAGCAGACAGCTGCTAGGAAGACATGTGACTCAAGGTGTTCTGTGATATTGGGGGACAGATCTGTGGGTGCTATTCAGTCTGCCCTGCACCTCCTTAATGTAGCCTGCTTCTGTTGAATGTGGTGGAGGAATGTATCTTATTGCCCTTACTGGAAAATGTAAGTAAAAAGTTAGAACAAAATGGGGCGTATTACACCTCTGCCTCACCATTTGTTCTGATTTTCTGGTCTAACAAAGTGCTAGTCTTAAGTTTTTAGAAATCCTTAACTACTTTGGGATCTGCTTAAATAAATTATCTTTTCTTGTATTTATCTACTGGTCTTTTTGGAACTTAAGGCCTTTCTTAGGAAGCACCAGAAGGCTATTGCTCCTCATGCCCCAGAGAGGCTGAGCTTATCCTTCTTTCAACACATTTTGGAAGTTTTATTTTTCTGGACTACAGCTCTCAGAATTATCCAGCTGTCAGAGCTGCTTGCATTGTCAAGTGGTGCATTCTGGAAACAGTGGTCTAAAAGAGTAACATTTGCAAACTCTGCATTTCAAGACTTTAAAAAAATCTTAATTTTCCAGGCCTTTTGTTCTGTAATTAGTACAGCTCTTAGAGCAAGCTTAAATAACTCAGTGAGTTAGAAACTAGACGTTGTCATTCCCCACTATGCCCCTGGGAGAAGAGCTGGCCTTCGTAGCTTTCGGAAAGCTGCATACTAGTCCCAGGGGACTCCCAGAAATGAGTGGTAAAGGGTCGCTGTGACGATTGCCCCACATCACTCCTGTCACTCGTATTCAGGTTCTCATTTGCATGAGCCTATGAGAGGAGTGGAGGGGCGGAGTCAGTGGATATAAGAAGGTTTGGCAGAAGAGATGAAGGAAGAGATATAGAACTTGCACAGAGAGAGTTTGTCGGAGATCATGAGAACAGATACTAATAGAGATAAGCTGGTCAAGATAAATAGATAGAGCAGGTGGTGTTTAGTTATGTGGCAAGATATATGACATTTTAATGATTTGATTATATGCATTGAATAAAGAACATCTGTGATTCTGAGTAAATTTAATACATTTCAATAAATAAGTTCTGTTGGCAGTAACCAGACAAGTGTCTGACATATATTGTGGATAAAGGAAATCCACTGGTGGCAATGAGGAAAAGAGGGAACATCACAATTGGTATCTGCTGGGGGGATGACATAGCGCCAGCCCTTTGTTTGGGGAAACAAGCAGAGGCCACATGGTAAACGTCACAGTTGCCATACATCAATATTGACTCAATGGCACAGATTTATTAGAACTTTTGACTAATATTTTCTTTCCTTTTGTTATACTGTTGTGTCAGAAACCAGTTTTAACTTCTAGTTTGTAAACTAATCTAATGGGGTTTTTTTTGCTTGTCTTCCATGTGTTTTAAATAACTTTTTAAAGATCCAAGCAAAACTGGTATAACAAGTGAACATTAATATACATAACAAAATAAAGTGTAGACAAGCATTTTGTTTCATAATACTATATTTCTTCTCACAATTTCATGTGCAGGGTGGGCAGTCCAGAATTCTGTAGATCTTGGTTTACAAATGAAATGGCATCCAAGTTGCAAAAAAATTCTTGATATCCCCCCAACACACACCATTTAAGTCTTCTATTTGTAATGTTAACTTCCTGGTGAGCACAGAGTTCCATATTCTTTCTATACAATTTGATGTATTAAGATTTTTCGCATCTCTCCCATGGGAGAGAATTTCTTGTTTATCAACACTGACTGATAATGAAATGACCTTTTTATGCAATATCCTTTTGGTCCGAGCCTATGGCCAGTATTGTAAAAGTCATATTAAAGTGTAGTTCTGTCTTGTGATATTTTCTGTAATTTTGGATATTATCCTCCAAAAGATTTGACCTTTAGGGCATTTGTACCATAGCTGTATTAGTGTTCTTCCCCCGCCACCCCATCCATCTGACATGTAGATGGGATTTTTTAAATTAATTCCAGTCATCTTGGTTGGTCAGGTGGCACCTATGAATTATTTTGAAGGGACATTCCCTTAGTTGTGTAGACATAGTTCTAATGCCAAGGGATGATAAATTGTTGCAGTTTTCGTCTTGAATATTGGTAGCTAAAAATTCATTTTTGTGGCTTAATGATATAGTGCAAAGAAATGACCCCACTGATGAATTTTAAATCTGCAAGCTGTAAGGATGCGGTGCTGTGTTATATCAGTAAATACATATAAATTTAGAAACAAATTTATAGACTTAATGCAATATAGACGCAGAAGTGAGATTTACCTAAGTAAAAACCATTAATAATTAGATGGAAAAGCACTAGCAGCTATTATGAAATAAGAACCCACATAGTTTGTTCATTCATTTTGTAAACTGATACAACAGAAGGACACTATACTGTGCCAAATTAGAAAGATCCTTCGATCCATGGTAAACGTCAACTACCGTATTTTTCCCATGTATAAAACTACACTTTTTCCTTAAATAATTTGAGAAAAAAATTGAGGGTCATTTTATACACAGAAGGCAGCTCTTTACTGCTGCCATTTGCAAAGGCACGGGGCTTAGCAAAAAGGGGAGCCGTTTCTCTCTTCCCTTTTGCTAAGCTCTGTGCCTTCTCAAAAGGCAAGGAAAAGTGGCAGTCACTTTGACAGCCACTTTCCTTGCCTTTTGCCAAGGCACAGGGCTTAGCAAAAAGGGAGCCCTTTAATCCCTGCTTTTTCTAATTTGGGGTTAGAAAAGGAGGGCTTGTCTTATAAACAGAAAAAATACGGTAACAAATGTACCTCTCTTCCCCCACCCTTCTTCTACAAGTTAGATAATTCCATTCAGATAGATCTTGCCTTTCTACATAAAAACACATCTATCTGTTACACTGTGGAGGTTCTCAGAAAGTACATATTCTTATTCATATGTCATCCACTTTTATAATTGTATAGACCAGAATACCCCAGTTCTACTTTTATGAATACAACAGCATCTACCAGTACAACCTAGAAAAATAAGTAAGGTGCTTGAATCTCTTTGCAGGAGAGCAGGGCATAAGGAAAATAAGAAACTTGTTTAACCAACAATGGAAATAAAGTGCCCATTGAAAGAATTGCTTTTTTTGTTAATAAGTTAGACAGAGATTCTACACTAATTCAAAAGTTTTTTGTTTTGTTTTTTTGCTGCTGTAGCTTGTTCTTAAACTAGAAAAGCCTATAGTCTGGGACAAACTTTTTAGAAAACCCAGGTTCAAATTCAAGGCACTAGCTGTTAAGAAATTCTAAAATATAACACCACCACGGTATTAATTACTGCATTACTGCAAGCCAAATTGGATCCATCTCAGAGGCAGCTGGAAAGCCCACGGGAGAGGCTTGGTGCTAAAGTAATCTGGAGAGTTATCAAGAGAAATAAGGAGTGAACCCAAGGCCACTCTAAAACCATCAGAGATGGTAGCTGTAAATTGACTAAAATACAGCTGTGAATTATAACCAAAGTGGTTACATGTAGAACAGCATGTCTTCTGGAAACCTCTGGTGGAAGGGATTGGCTAATGAATGTCTTCCAAGTGGGGAATAAAAGAAGTGTAAGAATAGTTAGGAGAATGCACAAAAAGGAGACCAAGTGCCTTCATATTTCAGCATGTTATTATGTACTCTTTATGAGCTCAGAGTGTCTATTCTTAGGTTCTCTAAATAGGCTAGCTACTTTTCTTTCATATTTGGGTATTCTTTACCTGTTCTTCATTTATAATCACTGCAGCTGGAGCTTTTGCTATTTGTTGGAATTGGCTTACTAAATCTACCCCACCCCCCAGTAATTTTGGCTTTCTACTCTTAAATAAAAATTCCCACTTGGTGTCCTTTTTAGAGCTTGACTGGAGGAACAATGTGGTTCTAAGTTCAGTACTTAACTACTTGGACTTGCTACCATGTACCTTTCCAGAATTATTACAATCTGATGTCTAGTTTTGGTCTACCTTACAGGGTTGGTGTTAACTTTACAAGGATGGTAGTTACTGGAGTTGCAGGTCTCAGGTAAGGAACAGAAGTCACCAGTTAATTTTGGGCTTCCAGGGCTGGCTAGATGTCTGTAAGGCTTTTGAGGAACCTGATGCAAGCACTGTAAACCTCCTGGTATAAGCTACCATTTCATACCAGCTGTTGCCCAGATTTACAATAAAACACATAGTTCTTTCAAGCGCTTTATTGATATATCTCTTTTACAACAATTGCTGATTTTAAGCTGTTTGCCCTGGCGTAATTTACTAGACCTTTACATACAAAATTTTACAAGCACATCAAGTGCTCTTCATGACTTTAGAAGAAGCACCATCATGAATAAAATTTAGATGGGGAATAGAAAATTACCATCAGAGTAAACAGTTAACGAGTCACAGATAAGAGGCAAAAGACATGAAGCCTCATAGATCAAATACGGCTGCTTCACCAAGTATGATTTTACCCAACATACATTATAGATCCATATTGCAATGCCACCAAATGGGAATATGTGAAGAATTTATGGAAGGAAAGGGCAGAAGGTCCACAATTAGCAGACTCCTCCATTCCAGGAAAGCTTTGCTGCTGCTCATGCATAAGTAGCTTCCCTTCACACAGACTGTTACTACTTAGAAGCATATCTTCAATTTGCAGTGGCATGGAAACATCTGCACAAGCTAGGATAAGCAAAGGGGGGGGGAATTGCAACAGGATTTAAAGGTGGCTGATTCTAAGGCACTTAGTGAAGTAGCTTTTCAATATCTTCCTGAATCTTGATAGTTTCGAAGCGCCTGCTGTAACGTTTGATAGGCACTCCATCACGACCAATAAGGAACTTTTCAAAGTTCCATGCGATGTCATTGCGGCAAACAGGAGACCAGATGATGAACTGTGGGTTATTCATTAGCGATACAGGGTCATCATGTGGGTATGGCAATGCCTGTTTCAGGGATTTGAAAAGTGGGTGAGCATTTTCCCCATTGACCTCACATTTCTCGAACACAGTGAAGTTGGGCTCATATCCATGGCCTGGGCGGACATGCTTTAGAGAGTTCAGGATCTCATCGTTGGTGGCATTCTCCTGTAAAAAATATATGTTTAATTTCAACTATCAATCATCACAGCTCTCAACACATTCACTTGCTTTACTGTAACATTTTACGCGTCCCAAAAGTTGTGTGTCAATAGTTGTTTTGTTGAAATATAATCCAGAATAAAGAAGCTTGTGAACTATTGCAAGTTGCACTACTTGCTACTGTAGTTACCTCACTTTGCTCAAACATACATGAAGAGTTTAAGTACTACATGAAAAGCAATTTCTAGCTTTCAACTCTACAAACTTAACTGATTCCACCTGCCCAAATTACACTGACTTGAAAATGTTTGCTCCTCATGAGGAAACCAAGGCCTAACAAAACAGATCCACTGATACTATCAACGAACCCACAACATATTGCCTAAGTTATATTAGGCATTTTGGAGGACTGCTGCCAATGCTCCAAACAAGAACTAGAAGGGCTTAACTAAAGAGGTGGGTGGTAGAGTAGTGTTTGTGCTAATTACAAGGGAGGCATTCTCATACACCACCACACTTGTTAAACCAGACTGTGATACAACTGTGTACTGGATAGGTCCATGCAGTTACAAATTGTATGCATAAGGATTCAGACTGACAATCAAGGTTTAAAGAAAACACTACTCTTTCCCCCTCACTACTTGGGTTAACTGCAACTCCCCAGCCAATCAAGTATATGCTGTTCAAGGATCAGATCATATTTCCTCATAGAGGAAGCTCTGGTGTATCCATCCTCTGCAGGAAATCCCCCCTGCTTCCTGCCTTCAAAGTGCGCCTTGGAACTACATTTCCAATAAATCCTCATCCATTGCAGTCAAGCAGGTATTTATTTGCACAGGCAGGTACTGTAGCAGCAACCAGCCCAATCTCCACTAGTGTTTGTCTACCTGCTGCCCTTCAAAGAAATGGTTTTGCAACTTTCAACAGCTTGCAGGGAATTATAGAAGTAATTGTCCAAATTATTTGGGTTGTGGAAGACTTTGGCTGTTTGAGTCATCATCTAGTTAAAGGCTATAAACTCATTTAGTTCAATGGATACATTTTTCCATACTGTTTGAGCTACTGATTGATGTCACAGTACAGGTGGCTTACTTGCACAGACATAAGGGTTGAACCCATCCATTTCATTAGTCCAACTAACTGCAGACTGTCAAATCTTATGAAACTTGTTAGCTCCTAATCCACATGGCCCACATTAAATCAGTTTTCAAAACTAAAATATATGTCAGTTCCTGGCTGTTTTAATTTGACCTACATCATCCATAACTGGCACAGCTGTCCTGAACAACCTGCTCTGTCTTGTTCATACAGAACCATTAGGTGTCCAAAACCCAATTCAGACACATATAAATTTATTTTATACTCTTAACCCTACCCACCTAGGTTTGTAAGATCCTCATAAAATAAAAGGTACTTCTCCTTGTTCTGCAACACATAAGAAGAACACTGTATATTCTTTTCACATTATTGGGAAAGCGATAGAAACCTGGCTATTCAAAACCTACTGCCTAAAGGGGAAGAATAAGCTGAAGTTTGCATGTCCGTTGGTGGTGCGGAGAATTAGAAGAACAAATCAGGGAAGGTTTCAGTGGGTGTGCTTAGAGACTACCTTGGCAGAGGGTGTATCCATTGTGAAATGTAGAATACCCTTCATTCTTCTTTTCCCTCCACTATAGTACAGCAAGAGAGAGCCTCCTCCCTGCCGGGGCCATGAAGCCGCCCTCCCTCCTCCCTCCTCGAGACCAGCTGGGAAAAGGCCCGGGCAGCTGCGCCGGGGCCCCCGCAGCAACGTCTCGCCAGCCCGAGGGCGCGGCGTCTTCTTCGCCGCCGACAAAGCCCAGGCGGCTGCCAGTTCAGATGCAAGCCGAGATCAGTTTTGTGCTCGCTGAAGCCTCCTTTCATAAACGCGTCCAAGCAACGTATTGAAAGGAGGTTCCAGCACCAATAGTAGAAACAAAAAATGTTGGGGCACTTTAAGCGTTACACTACAGTAAGCCCGCGTAGACCTTTAAGGCACCGCCGCAGTTCTGCCTTTTATCCTACTCGCTTTCAACAAGTGGGTCAAATGCCGGCTCAACCGCTCCGGGCAGAGCGAGAGGTTTCCAACGTGGGGAACGCGTGCGCTTAAGAACCGAGAGCATTCACACGCAACAGAAGTCCCGTTAACAACTTCACCTCTCACAAACAAACAAACAAAGGCCCGGGCGCTGCTTTCCCTTCAGGGGCTCCTTCCTTCCCGCCCGCGGCTCGCTCACCTGGTGGCCGAACTGGTTGCACGGAAAAGCCAGCACCGCGAAGCCTTCCGGCCCGAAGCGCCGCTGCAGCTCCGAGAACTGCGTGTAGTCCCGCGTCGTCGTGCCTCAGAGCGACGCCACGTTGGAAACCAGCAACACGCGGCCGAGGAAGGAACCCAGGTCGACGGGCTCCGCTGCTCCTAGCGGCCGCGCCTTGAGCCCCGCCAGCTGGAAAGAACCCGCCGCGCCCGCCATCGTCCCCGCAGCAGTAGCAGCCCGACCGACGAGGGGAAGCAAGTGCGCCAGCATGGAGGCGCTTTCCCTCTTTTTCAGGAGGCCCGGCGGCTCCACCCCGACCCTCACCCCCACTCCGCTCCGCCCTCGCTCCGGGTGTGGTTCTTGGCCAGGGCGGAGGCTGCGTCCCGCTTCCTTATCTGTGGCGTGCAGGGGGGACGGCGGCGCTTTGTGAGAAGCCGCCCCGATGGTCTCCCCGTCTGCGCGAATCCCGGATCGTCCTGAGCAAAGCTCGTTAATTCAAAGGACTTCTTTGCCTCCTGTCGGCAACGGCCTCCCCTTTTGTACCCGGCAGCCTTTGGCGCTTGCCTTCTTGTTTGGTTTAATCGCGCATCGCTGCATTCAGGGACAACGTCCGGTTTATCTTCGGTAGTCCTCTTCGGGGGAGGGAGGAATTTAAAAGCGGCTGATCAGATCCCTAGACATTGGGAGCAACAAGTAAACGCTACACTGAACCGCTTCTTCCCTTCTGTGCTGGCAGAGGGGAAAGAAGGGAAGCGAGAGCCAGATGGTTAGGAATCTCCCTGGTATTGCAGGCCCCAGGGGGTTGGCGGGAAAATCGGGAGTAAAACTTAATGGCGGCGCCTGCGACGTTCTCTGCTTTGTCTCTGGACCCAGGGGCGGCGGTCGCTTCAAGCTTTTTTCCTGCACGGAGAGAAGTACAAGCTATCCCCTCAGGTTTTCACACACACCAATGTGTCTCTAATTAATAGCCTCGTTATCCTCTCCCTCTTCTAAGAAGTACCACCAAACTCGCCAGAGGGAGAGGGCAAGGAGGTACAGTGCGGGGTGCTTCCTCCTTCAAAGAAAAGACAGACGGCCTCCTTGTGTGAAGTGTTTAAAACCGTCTTCGCCTGTTGCCGCAAAAGTGACAGGCCTGTGGGGTTCTAACGAATTTGATTCCACCTGGACCAAATCCCATTTTATGAGATTCACTATATGAATTGGGTTCCAGGGGGCTTTCAGGATGGATGGGGCACCCCCTCCTCCCCAGTATCTGATACAGGGCAAGGGAAAACATTACTACTGGTATTTACTGTTAAGACAAAATGTGAAACTCCGTGATAGCAGGATACCTTTGCTAGGCCAAGTCAAATATCATAAAATACTGTACCATGCAAGCACATATAATCTTTAACTTTTTTTTTTTACTAGTGCAGCTGCCTTCATGTTTGCACCCAAGGCTTATTTAATTTATTTAGTCAATTTCTGTGCCGCCCATCTAGCAAATTGCTATTCTGCAAAAAAGAAGAGAAACAAAAATTATGAAATTCTCTAAAACAGGAAACTACGTATGCCAAAAATAAATACACAAACCAAGATGGTGGCAAAATAAAAAAATCTGATACAATGTTCCTCTCCTCTTTCTGCAGCTGTTCCAAACCACTGAGGACCCAAAGGCTTCCCTTAAACAACTGTTTTTAGAAACTTTTTATAGATGCAGAAGGAGGGTGCTTGCCATACTTCTTGCAGGAGAGCATTACACAAGTGTGTGTGTGGGGGGGGATGCTGAGAAAACCAGGGTTTGTAGATGATGTTTTCCATGCTTCTTGAAGTGTCAATACCCACAGGTCTGTGAAGGCTGGGTCAGGTGGGCAGCCAAACTAGGCAGCTGTTGAGACAACTAACGAGGTCCCAAACCATTTAGTGTCGCAAGCTTATTTTAATGTAGAGGCTCTGGAATTTTCAGCACACTGTAGTATTGAGGAATCGTTGGAGCAGTTCTTAACAACTTTAGTGGAATCTTTGAGACGGCACAAATAATAGTGTGCATTTTTAAAAAATAAATTAATAGGTTTCCATAGTATCCTGTAGTTGTTGTTTTTTTTGGCGGGGGGGATGGTGAGGAAGATTTTGAATTAGAAAGATTTGGATTTGAGGGTTAGACAGCTGACCAGGATGCTGTTATTATGCATCACAGCTGTTAGTGTAGCCCTTGTGTAGCCCAGTTATCTCTTCCTCCAAATAATGGCTTCTAGTTTTAACTTTGGCTTGAGCTATAGGCTGGAACCTTATAACCTGTCTATTCTAGATACTATTTATTTCCATATACGGTATTTCATGCAACATCTGTTATAGGAAATAGAGTTGCTAGACAGTTGAATCCAGAAGGAGTCATCCTTGCAACTGCTTAGACTTTTGTTTACCTAGATTAGAATTAGCTGCTTTTCTTCCCATTTAGCTCCCCGTATTAAATCAATTATCTGTGATAATTATTCCCTCACTGAAACTTACAGCTTGGTGTATAGCATTTATGACCTACCTGAAGGTGCCCCCAATAGGGTCTTATATATTTCAACTATGTTTTTAAATGAGGTCAAGCTAGAATTTAAAAATTATGTAAATTAATTCAGGACCTAAAATATTTCCTGTACACTAGAAACTATGTCAATTTTAATTATCTGGATGTTTCTTCATGACAAGAGGGAACTTCCTGCTTTCTTAACAACTACTGTAACACTCTCTGTGGGGTACTTCCCTTTAAGCTGACCAGGAAACTGCAGCAGGTGTAGAATGTGGCTGTCAGGCTACTGTCAAGGGTTAACAAGTTCAATCATGTCCCCAGTCCTGGCTTGCCTGCACTGGCTGCCTATGCTATTCCCAGACAGGTTAAAGTTTTGGATCCTACCTATAAAGCCCTTCATAGTTTGGGGCTTCAGTACTTGTTGGAGCACCTTTCCTTAAGAGCATAAGTCTGCACCACCTGATCCTGACAGGCAATGCCTCTATGGGTTGCCACTCCAGGAGAGGATAGAAAGATACCTACAAGAAACTTAGTCTAATCTGTTGTGGCACCATCCCTAGGTAATGGTGTCCCAGTGGAGCTGCACCTGGGCCACCCGCCTCCCTCCCTCCTTTCAAGAGGATGCTCAAAACTAGTCCGTTTGAAGAAGCCTGTAAGGGTATCCTCTGTTAAATGCCTTCCCAAAATTGTCATCACTTTTGCCATTGTTTGGGTTGACTTAGTTTTATGCATAATTGTATTGTTTTCCCTTGATAAAATTTAGATAGATAGATTAGATCTATCTATCTATCTATCGATCAATCGATCAATCGATAGATAGATAGATAGATAGATTGATTGATTGATTGATTGATTTCTATTATACCTGGCATGATTTAAAAATATCTAAATAATATGCTGGAAGTTATTTTCCTTTGCTATTAATAGTTCTATAACTCCTCATTCCAATGTTATGATGCACTACACTACATCATTTGAGAGGTCCCATTAATTAAGGATGGAATGTTCTGGGTGTGAAAGTGAGAGGATTGCATCATGAATGTACAAGGTTTTGTTCTTTCACTCCTACCTTGTTAATGGAAACCTGGGGCTCTGCTTAACAGCAGAAGTCACTAGGATTTAGTGCAAGATTACATGAATAATAATAAAAAGGAAAGAGTAAACAATATTGTTTCATACTTCTAAGTAGGGCACATTTTGGTGACAGTATTATTGGTTATTACCAGAAGTCACTAGGATTTAGTGCAAGATTAACTGAATAATAAAAAAAAGGAAACAGTAAACGATATTGGTGACAGTATTAGTTGGTAATTATACCAACTATGAGATAACTGGGACCAAATTTGGGGAGTATGGCTAATTTTTAAATGGAATTACTCTGAAAATTTGTCAGAGTTCTTTTCTACCTCTAGTGATGCGACTTCTGTTGTGATGCTTCATAAGTTCTTATATGACGCCAAATACAACAAAGAGGCATGTGGCACCTGTAAGAAGTAACAAGTGTGTTATGTTGTAAGGTTTCATGGGCTGTGGCCCTCTTCATCAGGTGAAGCGAGCTGCAATCTGTGAAAGGTTGTGACATAAAACATTTACTATTCTGAAAGATGACATTAGGCTCCCTATTGATTTTTCTGCAGCAGAGCAGTTCTCTTTGAGGGAACAACCGCAAATATAATTATGTTCAGGAGCATTATCCTTTTGATCTGTTCCCTGCCCATGTTTATATAAACTCCACCTTGACCTCCGCCGATGAGGGAATAAGTTCTTGTCTCGGAATGAGGAACTTGGACAGGAATTTGTAATATCGGCGTTCACTAGGGAAAGAGGCAGCCAAGTCACTGCATGTTTGCAGAAGTAGAGATTCTTCCTGTAAAAGGACATAGATGTTTACTGTATTCATTCAAAGGGAAAGGTCCTTCCTTTAACAAACGTTGATATATTTTTTTTATTGCCTTAATTCCTGCTCAGGGCGGTCAAATCCGCCTTCGTTGGTTACTGCCTTCTTAAGAGAAAAGTCAGGAGACCTTAGTGCTAGCAGGCGACATGGAGGAAGAAGAGGAAGTGCTTTCATTTTTGTGTAGAAGACAGGCAGTTCAGACTGGGTCTTTCTTGCCACTATCAAGGTCAAGACCATTCTCAGTTTTTATGGCTCTGGTAGCTAGCAGGGGAGGATTCCTGAGTAAAGTTGCTTATGTTCTTTCTGTTGTTCTGAGTTTTTGTAGTAATATAACTGAGATTTTTGTAATCTATAGATTGGGGACAATTTGGTACTGCTCACTGGGTTGAACTGGGGAGATGAGATCATATGCAAGGTCATTCCTTTCAGCTATTATTTTGAACAAAGGCAGAAAGAACATTCAGTGAAACCACAGGGAACCAACATGGAGAGATGGAATGATCCAAGATATTAAGAAATTATCATTAGCTAGATTCACCCATTGGAAATTTAACTCCATAACCATTTTTATGATGTTGTTATGTGCCATCAAGTTGCCTCTGACTCATAATGACTCTTATGAATGAATGATCCCCAGAATATCCTGATCTTAAGAGCCTTACTCTTGCAAACTCAACCCTCTGGCTTCCTTTAGAGAGTCAATTCAGATATTAAGAAATTATCATTAGCTAGATTCACCCATTGGAAATTTAACTCCATAACCATTTTTATGATGTTGTTATGTGCCATCAAGTTGCCTCTGACTCATAATGACTCTTATGAATGAATGATCCCCAGAATATCCTGATCTTAAGAGCCTTACTCTTGCAAACTCAACCCTCTGGCTTCCTTTAGAGAGTCAATTC